TAGGTTTCAACTACTGGATCACGAGATGTATACTGCAATTTGGCCTTTTTTCTTATTTTATTTTTATTTTTATTTTCTTTTTGATAATATTTTGTATGCATTAATTCTAACACTTGGGATTAAAACCACAAACTGCTAGTTTACTCAAGTAAATAAAACTTTTTTTAAGGAAAATAAATATATATTTTATTAGACATTATTTTCTATTATACTAGACGAACTAAAAAAAAACAAGATAACTGATATCCTTTTTTGTACTATTATTGTTATTAAAAATCTATTACCAATGCAAATAATTATTAACATTAAAGTTAAATATATCCACATACAAATAGAATTTGCAGATACGTGGCTCTCAGAAATATTAATAAGAAATTCAATTCTTAAAGGTCCAAATTATATAGGCTTACCTGGTGACTCTACATCGAAACCTATTTTTATTTTAAATAGCATTATAGAGGATGCAAAAGAACAGGGGAATGAGCTTTGGGTTCTGTTCCAAGATATGCAAAAAGTATTCAATTCAGTCTCTTTTCAAATGCTCAAGCTTGCAATGGAAAGAATTAAAATTCCAAGCATATTAACGAATTTTATTATAAACTTATTTAAAGAATGGAGAACACAAATCTTAACAGTAGTAGATCCCACAGAAAGTATCACAGCATCAGATGGTATAGAATAAAGAGAAGTTCTGTCCCCACTTGTTTGGCAAATATTTTATGACCCACTAATACATAGGATTCAAAGCAACAAGAATTTGGGCTATACAATACTTCTCAAAGAGCCACTAAATTTGTGTAAGAACTTATACAAATAAACAAAGTTTCACCAAGTAGCTTTAGCATATGCAGATGACACAACCTGGATAGCCAGTAGCAAGTTACAGTTAGAAGAGATATTCAAAATTGCAGAAAAATTCTACTTAATCAATAATATTTGTGTTAATCCAAAAAAGTCAAAGCTGATAGCATTTAACTTGACAAAAAGTGTAAACAATCAGAATATAATACTAGCAAATGAAAAAGTAGAAGTAGAAAAAAGCAAGTTGCTTACAAGATTTTTGGATGTCTGGATAAACAAAAAAGCTCAAAATCTATTGAACAAAAATAAGGCTAAGCAAATAGTCCAGATGACTATCAAGATATTAAGATACAAGAAACTTATACTAAGTTAGCTAATTTATTTAAACAATATGTATCTTATCCCTAAGCTATATTATATTCTACAAACTTCAAATCTGTCAAAAAATACCTTAGACGAAATACATCAACTGATAATAAGGCTTGTAAAGAATAAAGTCGAGTTACTATACACAACAAGCAACTTTTTACTTGCACATAGAGATCTAGAAAACTGCAAATTTCTTTGGCAAGAGCTTTTAATACAACAAATAACAAATCTACTTCGGTGTCTAAATGGGTTAGATCAAGATAGTTATTTAGCGAAAATTCGAATCAAACAAGGTCTTCTAAGAGCCAATCTGGTAAAGAGTAACTGGCAATTCGAAACATATCCATACTTGAATTTGATCTAGAAACTTAATATAACATGCTTAACGTTATATAAAGCAAAAATCTTCAATAAGAACATTAGACCCATGCTTGAACGATGGCTCTTCCAAGGTGCTGGACTACAAATTAAAGAAACAATGAATTTCTCTCTCTTTTTAAAATCATATAAAAATCTTCTCAATTTGGGTATTCTCTTTCGTAACCAACTACTCGACAGAGAAGGGAAAAGGCTCTTAACATAGCAACAACTCAAGGAGGCAAAAGAAAACCAAAAGCGGGAAAGAAAGCTAAATGGTTCACTTTTTTAGAAAATTCCATGTTACAGAATCCAGAAAACAGAGAGATCAAAGAAGTTCATAAAACAACTAGCCCAAACAATCTAGCACCTCTTCAGATAATAGGAAAAAAGAATGGATATTAATAGATAAGGAAAACAATAAATTAGAGCTAAGAAAAATTGTTAAAAAAGGCAAACGTAAAGTTCTTACAGAGCATTAGGAGTTTAAGGAAAATAGCTCATTAGCAGGGTACATTGAAATAGAAAAATGTGAAGAATTTTATTCATTAAATCAGGAGGAAATTTATAGTTGGATAAGCCAGAGTAATGTGTTAACAGCAATCCCAAAACTATTAGAAAAAGATAATCGAAAGCATATTTTAAGATATGAAGACATCCTTACTAGCAGTAAAAGTAGACCAAAAATAATAAAACCGAGGAAGGAAGAAAGTTTGTTCGTTAGCATACAAAACATAAAATCTTTAGATAAACAATTAATATCAAATCAAAATTTTAATATAGATTTAGATAGTAGCTTAACTAGTAGTTTAGTCTTAATAATAGTTTTAATATGAATAGTTTTTGGATATACACAGATGGTTCATTAGTTCATGAAATAGATAAGTGCAGTATGGGTATTGGTTGGGTACAAGTAGATAAAAAACAAGAACGGTCATTATGGGAGGGTATGGCAAAGGTAGAAAACTGGCCTTTATTAACAAAGCATAAGCTCATTACGATTTGGCTTGCTCTTTTTACGATTCCAATAAATAGTAATATTTGCATATACTCAGATAGTGCAGCAGCAATATCTGATATAGACAAGATCAAAAGTGAATGGAGATTCAATAAGATTTTTAAAAGAAAAAATTAGGACATTTTAATCAAAATTGCAGATCTTATTAAAGCAAAAAAGATAAATCTAGAATTAATTAAAATCAAAGGCCACAGCGACAACAAATGGAATGATAGAGCAGATACACTTGCAAAAAAAGCTACTTCTTTAATGCACTCAACAAATATTTATTTAGACCTTAATTCAAGAATCTTTTTCTCTCTTTTTTGGGAAGAATATAAAGTTGAGAAAGCAACTAGACCTTTTCTTAAGAAGATCTTTGAAACCTGGAATAGCACGAATTGGAGATTAACGAGCTCAATTCTAACCTTAGAACCCAATTCAAACAAGCCTACATTGGATTGGTTCTTATATTAGAAAAGGTTAAAAAAGCTTAAAGGTGCGAAATATAATACATTAAAGAAAAGTAAGAAGTTAGCTACACAATTGAAGTGTCTCTTGGAAAGTTTACCAGTTCTCAAAACATTAGCAATATGAAGACCAAATATTTATACGAATAGTGAATGTTTAGCATGTAACATCAGTATAGTAGAGACTCAAGATCACCTAGCTGAATGCGATCATTATAAGTTAATGTGCCATAGTATTGAGACTACAACTCTTGATCTCATTTGGTCCAAATTTATGAAAGAAGAAAAGAAGAGATGGCCAAAAAACCTTTTGTATAAGATTCTAATTGGAAAGACAGACACTGATAGGTAGGAAAATAGAAAACTATGGATTAAAGACTTAACCATGGTGGACTCTTTTAATAGAATCATGAATCTCTGCATTTCATCAAAAACAACGTCCTATATTATAGAACTCACTACGCATATAATCTGGAATAGCTTTTATGATTTTATCTGGAAAGACAGATGTATCAAGATTGTCGATTAGGAAAAGAATCATAATATAAAGAAGAAAGATAAAAGAATCAAGAAGACCAAAGTAGCACAGCCAAAGAAGAAGAATACTCCAACTATTCAGAAAGAAAAATCTAAAAGAGAAGGGGTTGAAACATTTGTAAAGGACAAAAAAAAGTACAATGTATAGTATGATGTAGTAGGGAATTGGATACAAAAGAGTGCAAACCCCTTTTGGACAAGCTCGTAAAAGAGTCTATTTCTAGCTTATCCGTAAGCCAGTGCGATAGGTTGCGCCCAGGTAATCTTTAGATAACCAGGCGAAGTTGGGCTTTTATTTAGTCTTAGAAATTATGTATATAGTTTATATATACTACAAACTAAGAGTTTGAGTTACAACAAGACCTGTCAAAGATTAAAAAAAAAAAAAAAAAATAGTACTATATTCATTTATTATATTCAATGTTTTTTTAGTCGTACGATCATTATTTTGTAATATTTCATCACATTCTTTTTTGCCTAAATCAAATCATAAAAAATAAATAAGCCAAATAAAATATAAGACTTGTTAATATTAAAAATATACGTTGTTGATTTATAGAATAACACATCATCATTTTTATCGCCCAATCGTTAATACAATTTGGAAAGTCTGGATTGTTGGCTTTATACTATTAATAATAAATTTAAAGAAGATTAATATTAGTATCAAATTATAATCTTAAAATAAAAAATTATACCTTTTTAATTAGTGACCGTTTTTTAGTTGCACTTAATTTACAATACTCTGGTGTATCATAAGCCTATAACTGAGCTATAAATTCACACATTGCACTTTTAAATAATTTGTTAAAAGTTTTTTAAAAAAACAAGTAAATTCAAATAAAGCACTAAACCATTAAAGATAGTATGAATCAAATAATACTCTATATGATGTATAAACTTTGCTCTCAAGCGATAGTATTTCTGATAACTTGTACCATTTTAAGTTTAGAGGCTTTGCGATTAGAAAGTTTTTCAAAGGTTTTATCTAAATATTAATAAATAATTTTTAATAGTTACAACAACGTATAATATAAGAAGGGTATAATCTATATTTAATTTGTTATTTTAGTTATATATACCTTATTAATTTCTCTTTCAGAATCACTTAATACAATATGATGTATATGCTTTGAACTTTCATTATCGCTTGATCTATTCGTTTCAGAATTGCTATAGTTATCAAAAGAAATAATTTCTTAACTTTTTTGTTTTTTAGGTAATTGTTTATTATAGTAATTCAAATCGTCAGAGTCACTAGAAATTTCTGCCAACTTTTTTTTATGCTATTTGCATGAATCTTTATTTGTATTCGCACTATTTAACAAACTGTTAGTTGTATTGTGAGTATTTTCATTTAAAACTTGAACATTATTATAACTTAGCGTAAATTTAGGTTGTTGAATTTGTCAAAGTTTTTCATTTTCAGCTTTAAGAGCATCTATTTGATTTTTTAAATTAATAACATCATGGTTGCTAGTTTCTCAACAATTAATTTGTTATTATCTTTGGGAATAGGTTTTTTATTTGTTCGCTTAACTTTTGTCATAGTAATTAATATGAAAAAAAAAGAAAATAAATTTAGAGGAAGAAAGAGTAAGTTATTTTCATCTTAAAGTTTATTTTATATATTTATATTTATCAGAATAATCGGACTTTAAAGATTTGTATATAAATACAAATTGTGTAAGAAAAAAATTTACTTATATAATTTATTGAAATTTGTATTGAAATTTATAATGAATAACGAATTAAATCTTATTAGCAAAGATAGTGAAGCCTCTGATATAGAATTAGATACTGAACATGTTATTACCGATAATAATAATAAAGTGTATTGCAGGTGTTATTTATGCGCTGAAGAAGGTTATGGTGGTGCTTGGATTAGCAAAAATACTTGAACTAGACATATAAAAGCTCAAAATTCTATAGCAATATATACAGAACTGTCAAGTTCAGAATTTAGTTTAAATACAGCTTTTACTCTTTCTACAAATCCCTAACACAAAATTTACTTAAAATCTATCCAACACAAAACGTCCATTTACGCAAAATTTTACTATGTTAATCTAAGTACATGCAATAATAAATGTTGTCCAGTTCATCAAAATACACATAATACTCAAATTTGAGTCTCTAGCTCTTATATTTGTAAAGTAAAGTCCTAAAATGTTTTTTAGGCAAAAATCTAAACTTTTGCCATTTGCTCCTTAACCTGATTCTTAACCTCTGCAATACATTTAGTAAAAGTTGCTCTACACACTTTCCTTGTCATAACAAGCTATATTTCATCTCTGTAGCATCAAAAGTGACGAAGTTACTCTTTAAACTATTTTAACTCTCTTTTACTCACTCTTTACAACTTTCTTTGTCTTTTTTTTGTACTTTCCACTATAGATGCTGGTGAAATAAAATCGGGGTGGTGAAATGATTTCACCATTTCACCAATCACCAATCGGTATTGGTGTAACTGGTGTAACTGGTGAATTGGTGTAATTGGTGTAATTGGTGAATTGTGGTGAATTGGTGAATTGGTGAAATGGTAAATTGGTGAAATGGTGAATTGGTGAAACGGTGAATTGGTAAAACGGTGAAATGGTAAAATGGTGGAATGGTGAAATAATCGGGTGAATTTCTAGAGTTCAGAAATTCACCCAATTATTTTAATCTGGAGTCTAGATTGTATTTGCTCTCCGAAGGTTAGATTTTTGTTCAAGTTTTTATGCTTTTACAAGTACTCTTAGAGATCAGAACCATTAACTACTATCCGTATATCTGTATAGCCAACACATATCGGATCCTTACAGATAATAACCTTCATTTGTCAAATTTTAAAAAAGATAATCTGTAGGTATCCTGTGGTCAACGTGAATTCTAGGATTCACAAAACTTATTTATATGTTATATAGTACTAATTTGAAGTAGCGATAACAACAAAAACTAGTTTATATACTATTTAGTTATATAAAACAAATATATGTCTGGTAAATTCCGGAAAGATTATTAGTATATAAAAATATAAGAGTAAAATAATCTAATATTATACTATAATATAAATCTTGTTTTCAAATAAATCCCACACTTTCAAATTTGGTTTACATATTTATTTTGCCCGACCTGTATCATTTGCTTTTATAAATTTCCTATATTACTATCGCTATATACATATATTTCTAATTCTTCTCTCCATTATATGTCTATAAGTTTGTATAAAACCTTTCTTATAACTTAAAGACATTTTATTACAACAATAATTTAATACTATGTAAATTTTAAAATTCAGCAGTTTTTTTTTTCTAACACATGTCTAAAATCCAATTATTTTTTAGGTTATAATATGATGAAAACTTACATTAAGAATTTTTTTATTTTTTTTAAACGCTTCTATTTACTTTTTTGTCAGCCAAAAAGCCAAAGAATAGTAAAGTTGATGTCTCATGATTTAATCATATATCCGCAAATATCAATGCAAAACCTGCTCACTTATCCATGGTATTGGATATCCGGTTATTTAAGGGTTTCAATTAAACAAACAACTGGATTTAAATAGTAATTAGAATACATCCATACGTGGATAAGAACAAACCCAGTTCCAAACTTAGTAATATCATATCAATTGTAATTGTGTTTTTCATCTTTAATTATCGATGTACTTAAAATATAATGTGAGAAAATAAAGAGAATATCAAGGAGTCAAAATCCCAATACTTATTTTATATATTAGTGTATAAATTCACCAAATATCAAGTTTGAATCTAGTATCAAATACTGAACTCTGGTTATAATAAACTAGAATATATATTTAATTTTTACTAGCTATCGTAGTGATATATAATTATAATGATAATCTTTTTTGAAAATTAATGGCCTCACGAAATTCAGAAACTGGTTCTAATATATTTAGTATTAGTGAAAATGAACTACAGGAGTATAGTGAAACAAATGAATCAAGTGAATCAAGTCTCTTGCTTACAAAACATAGAAATATTAGTGGTAAAAAACAGGGAGATATTTGGCTTTATGTTAATCAAGGTGTTAGTTTAGGTCGGGAACATTATAAAGCTAGTTGTAGATATTGTCCTATTTCATGAGAAAGAGGTTGACCAGATGATATGCACATGCATCTTGCTCGACAATGTTTAAATGTTCCTGACAAAATTAAATATTTTTGGAGAGATTTTATTGCTAAAGAAAAAACTTCAATACGAAAAAAAACAAAACATAATCAATCTGATATTACAATTAATTTTCCAAAAGTTGAACCACTTTTTGAAGAACGAGTGGAATCTTAAATAAAGCTATTTTAAAAGCTTGGATTATATGTAATTTTTTATTTGAAACTGTAGAAAATCCTTTCATAATTGATTTGTTTCAACTTGAAATTCCTGGATATAAACTTCCATCATGGGATAGGCTCTCTGGTCGCTTTTTAGACCAAGAAGTTTTAAGAATTGATAAGCGAATTGATAATGATTTAGAAAAAGAAGAAAACCTTACTTTATGTATATAATATAATTTTTTTTAAAAATTATAATTAATAAAATTTTTTAAAAAAAAATTTTTTTTGTTATAATAGCCCTCAATGGATGGACATCACCTACTCATGATTCAATTTATAATTTTATTATTACTACGTCCAAGCGTAAAGAATATCTCATTAAACTTA